AGTTATGAATTGGGAGCTCTCTATCTAGGTTATGAATTTGGTAACTCTAATGATATAATTTAATAATTAAAGGATAATACGAGTTAAGGGAACTGAGGAATTGAATATGAATCCTCATACACATGTTCTTACTCTAAACCTTAGAAAAAGTCTTTCAAGTTAGAATCCTGAGTAACAGTTGAAGGTTTTAGAGGAAGAGTTAAAGGCTAGAAATTTATGAGTAGTTTACTCTACTACTATAGAAATAATGTTTTAATTTTATTTGTAGATATAAATGCTACTATGACAATTTTGAGTATGGACCTCGTTTGTATTGATTGTTAGTTAGGAGACTAGGTACTAGGTAATTGTATTTCTATCTGTTGCATGTTCCGGTATGTGTGGTTGGTGAGTAGTTTTTATAATTAAATTATTTTATATGAATTTTTTATTTGCATAAACCATCTTATGGGATATGTTTTGAAGGGAACTGAATAAAGTGAGTTTGAAAATTATTGATCTTTGGGATATGATGCGTGAGTTAAAGCTTTAATGAATTATGTTCCTATATATGTGTATATCCATTTGAATGTTTTAAATCATGTGCATTTAGTAGGTTATGGAGGAAATTATTGAATTTATTGAGATCTACATACTTGCCACATGGTATTGGCTTACATATAGAGCTCTATGGTAGCCACTATTATTGTCCCACTAGTTCTTTGAGGGACTGTGACACCACACTAATTCTTCAAGGAAAGACCCATGGTCCACCGAGTGCTCTATGGTCTTTGGCCGGTCCATAGCACTCATGTGGTAAGGTTATCAAAGTAGCCAGTCAAATGAAAAGAACTTAACCTATGGGTCCAGTCGACAGAAATAATGAGGATATAAGGATAGATTAGGGTGCATAGATTGCATATGACATGGAATCTTCATTGATATTGATATCTTTTGAATAAATAATAAGTATGTTATCTTTTTTGAAATTATCAACTGCATGAGATTAGCAGAAATATTTGACTTATATTGTTGTTGTGAGTTTAACTGTTAAATAAATGTCTATTTACTATTATTAACTCTGTGTGTCCCACCTGATACCTCGCTAACCCATGCTAGTGTGTGTGATAGATAGGGAGTTGGTTACTGAGACATTGTCTCACTCTTGTTATTTAAGATTTTTCAGGTGAAAGCTTTAGAGGAGGAATGTCAGGGAAGGCGTAGGAGGAGTAAAGCTACGATAGCGACTTGTAGTGCCTCCTCGATCAATGAGTTATGTTGTTTCCTGTGTATTGCTATCATAGGACAATTTGTGTTTAATTGATTCATACATTATCATGTTTTTGTGTCCTTTTATTTGTTCTGTTATGATATACATGGTAGTAGTTGGCCAGAGGCCTAGGATTGCAGATTTGGTTATTTTGAATTTATTAGTCTTGCAATTTTAATTTATGAGCTATATAATATGTTATTTTATAACCATGTTATATGAGACTGATCCTTTCTAACATGGTTCACTTTTAAATGAGTTAAGAAAGATTCTTTTATCTGTGATAGAGTGTATGATTGGGTGCTGTTCTTTTCTATCACAGATAACCTTATTATATAGTAAGTTAGTTTATATGCTTGTGATAAATTTAAGTTTACTGTTAGCATGATTTGGTTATAAAGAAACAAAATTATTTCCTAAGGTTATCATGAAAAAGTTAATTTTATCAGTTTATTTAGGATGGTTGTTTTTGAAGGATCTCTAGGTCAATTTACGTACAAGGTAAATGATCATAAATCATTACTATTGTGAAGAATAAAAATATATTGATTATTATACTCTTAAGAGTTATCGCAATAACTAAGACAGGATGATAGGCCAAAACACTTAAACCTCCAAGCATACGAATTAGAATCAGTAGAGTCCCCCCCCCCCCCCCAAAAAAAAATGAGGACTTAGTACCAATCACTCATCAGTTAGCATGTGTCTTGAGTTTTTTAAAATCCCAACGTTAGCATAGTCAAAATTGGACCCGAACTATTTTGTGATGCATGATTCCTAATATATATTAGTTTTGGTCATTAATATAAGAGCTAGTTAAGCTTTGAATTTGGTCCTAAATATATGATTTCAATCTACTTTATTTTGAAATTTAATTTGTAATTCATTATCTAAAGCATTCCTATTGATTATGCATATTAAATGGCTTTTATCCAATAAAAATCATGACTATATACAAAGGGTATTTTAGGAAAATCAACTCATATTTGTTATCAACATAGTAACTAATTTAACTAATTTCTTTAATCTACCCAAATTAATTAGGTAGTTCTTATATTAAAGATAGGAGGGAGTATATATTTTATGTTTATTGTAATATTTTCCATAGTATTTTGGGATTCCTTGCTACATTTTAGATATCATTTCGTTACTTGATTAATTGCAATAAATAAGATTATTTGCATCAATGGGAATTCATTGGTATGTTTGTATTTTTGTAAGCAAGATTGAGTAAGGAAGGAGAAGCCAAGTTAGAAGGATGAAAATATCTAGAGAAGGATGCCTAATAATGCCAAAGAAATGATATAAAACCAAAGACAAGACCAGCCTGTCTAATCGATTAGCCCTCAAACATATCCCAAAATCGAATCGAGTTAGAACTAGTCAAATGCTGGCTGAACTAGTAAAAAATAACCAACTGAAACTTCAAAAAATAGAAGTAAAAAATAACCAACTGAAACTTCAAAAAATAGAAGTAAAAAATAAAAAGGGAAAATTGCTAAATAAAAATGTGAGGAGCAAATAAAGTGATTTTACGGTATTCAAGGTAAGTGAGAAGTGCTTTGTCTCAATTTGTATGAAATATCTTTTTAAGCGCTTATTGCACAACAAACCTCTGAATGTCACTCCTTAAATATAAAATATATTTGGAAAAATTATTATGAGGCCCCAAGTAAAGAAAACAGGGAGAATTGTTATAAAGTCCTAAGTAAGCAACATAACTAAAAAGTTATAATGACAATAAAGCATTTTGCAATGACAAATTATACAGTAGTAAATAACAATTGCTCGCTGATAATCGAAACTTACTAGTAACCATTTTATTTGCTTAGGACCTCATTATAATTCTCCCAATAAAATAACTATAAAAAAGTTTTATTAAAACTTGTCATTACAGACTGTTTTGTTGTTATTGAGACTTTTTAATAAGGACAATACTTACACTAAATTCCTAATATTTACTGTGTCAAATTTTTAAATTACACATGACTATACGTACTATTATTGAAATATTAACATTTAATAGTATTTAATTATAAACCTACATAGAAAATTAGGACACAAGGCTATGTGTGATTGAAAAAAAATTGACATAATAGATTAAAAAAACCAGATCTAAGTATTTTTCTTTAAATAATTATTTTCCTTCTTTGGGACTTTATAGAAATTCTCCCAAAATATTTTATTATTCTCTCTCTATAAAATCTTCATTAGTTTTATCCTTATAAGACAAGAAAGGCTATTGATAAGGCCTTAGAAAACTAGAAATACGTCATCTAAATATAGATTAAGTACTCAAAATTAGCAATAAATTACATGCCAACGGACTAATGTTATTTCTTACCCATATAAACATTAAGATACCACTTTAAAACCATTTTAACTAACCACTTCGATTGGTTACCAGCTATTAGCGGATCACCATCGCTGGTGACAACAGTAGCAAGTAATATAATTTTTACCAAAAAAATTATTCTTAGTATCTTCTAAGATTGTTTTAATTTCCAGTTACATTGATGGGTTAAACTAAAGTACAAATTTTTATCATGAAACGCGGTATTTTGACAATTAAGGCCGGCCAAACAGTAATTAAGAAGGTTCCTCTTTGTTTCTTTCCTTTTTCCTTGATCTATTGGGACGAGCATATAGCGACGGACGGATTGGCATATTCAATTGCGCGCATGGCATATCCAATATCAGTTTCTATCAAAAGTCAAACTCTTCCTTCTGTCACCGTATGAAAGTAAATGCTCCCTCCAGTCATTTATATTGTAAATTACACTATGTTTAAGTCTTATATTTAGGAGCGGAAGAGTAATAGATAAGGGGTTAAGGTGGGGACAGTTGGAATTTTTTCTAGGTATGTCTATCATTTTAGAATATTTTGTGATATGCATAGTACTAAAAACTATTTTTTAGGTGCTTGACATTAATTCATTTAATGAACCTTCTGGTCCGGTAGTTATTCATGATGGAGTTAAAATTACTCATGAAATAATACTTCAAAAGCACAGTTGCTTTTAAAATATTAAAAATTACACCACAAATATTTTAGGAGTATTGATGCATCTAAAAAATATTTCAGAGTGTTATACGCATCATAAAATACTTTAAGATGTTGACCGTACATACCTGACAAAATATTTTAAAGTGCTGGACATACGTTAACTCATAAATCAATGTACACATTTATCCTTTTAATTTTATATCATGTTTTACTTTAGACTTTTAATTTCATAAAATGTTTTTAATCTTTTAATTTTAACCACGTTAACAAAAGCACTAATATTGAACTTTTAAATATTGAAAAAGTATTCTCAAATTGGCATGTTAAATTTAATTTTTAAAATAAGAATGACTATTGTACAAAAAAGTCATTATTTAAGATTTATAGGGTTAGAGGACTCAAGATATTTTACAAAAAAAGTGTTGCCTGCCTCCATAAACCTTCAGATCGGGCCTAAGAACTAGGAATAAATAGCATATTATATATATATATATATATATTTTTTTTTTTTGCTAAAGCATAGGTATCCTCCTATTGGAGTCAATCTTATTCAAAGTACTGTTAGGCACTAAATGTAGGCACCTCTCCCAGCGGGGATTCAAAGCTTGGTTCGTCACGTTGTGAGGGACTAGCCCCTTCTGCTATACCAACCCGTTGGTAAATAGCATATGGTAAATAGCATATTATATAAATATATATTTCTTATATCCTGAACGCGGATCTCATTTCTTGGTCTGGCCAACTATGTCTAGCCAACTTCGAGTGCTTAGTGCTCTTGATGCTGCCAGGGTACAATGGTACCACTTCAAAGCCATCGTAATTGCAGGCATGGGCTTCTTGACTGACGCCTATGATCTCTTCAGTTTACCAAACATCACAAAGTTGCTCGGCCGCATCTACTACACTCACGACGGTGCAACGACGCCCGGAACCCTCCCTCCCGGAGTGAATTCCGCCGTCAACGGCGTCGCCTTGTTTGGCACCTTGATAGGCCAGCTATTCTTTGGCTGGCTGGGTGACCAAATGGGAAGGAAAAAGGTCTATGGTTTAACCCTTATCCTCATGGTTGTCTCCTCTCTAGCCTCCGGTCTCTCTTTCGGTAAATCAGCAAAAGGCGTCATCACTACTCTTTGCTTCTTCCGCTTCTGGCTCGGATTCGGCATCGGCGGCGACTACCCTCTCTCCGCCACCATCATGTCAGAATATGCCAATAAAAAGACCCGTGGAGCTTTCATCGCGGCGGTTTTCGCAATGCAAGGCTTCGGAATTCTGTTCGGCGGTGTTGTTTCCCTAATTGTTGCGACGGCGTTTGACCACGCCTACGAAGCTCCTCCTTATAAGTTCAACGCCGCCGCTTCTCTTGTTCCTCAAGCCGACTATGTTTGGCGAATCATTCTCATGTTTGGTGCTGTCCCAGCTGCTCTCACTTACTACTGGCGTATGAAAATGCCGGAGACAGCTCGTTATACGGCGCTGGTGGCTAAGAATGCGAAGCAAGCCGCCGATGACATGGCTAAAGTACTGCAAGTTGATATTGAAGCTGAACCAGAAAAGTTAGAGAAGATGACTCAGAGGAAGAACAGATACGGGTTGTTCAGTCGGGAATTTGCTCGCAGACATGGCCTTCACTTGCTCGGAACCACCTCCACTTGGTTTCTATTAGATATTGCGTATTACAGTTCTAATATCTTTCAGAAGGATATTTACACTGCAGTTGGGTGGCTTCCTCCGGCTGAAGACATGAACGCAATCCACGAGGTGTGTGTGTGTGTGTGTAAGCGAAAGTTAGCATATTTGTTCTCAAAAGTTACAAAATCTCCCTATTTTCTAATTCATTAAATTAGTGAGCTTAGATGTGAGTATCAATTCATGTTAGTGAATCACATAGACACAGTTGAAGGTGAGATATGTATACGAGTACCTCGTGGGAAAATTAAGTCTCAGATGCATTATAGATCAAGGTTCTGATATTAAATTTAGTTTCTAGCGTTCCTTATGACTCAGTAAATGTGTTTGAGTATTTTTTTTAATTGATTAAAACCTTTGTAGTTGATGAAGAGTGAAGATGAATGATGATTTAATGGATGATATATGCAGGTTTACAGGGTTTCGGCAGCACAAGCACTCATAACATTATGTGGTACAGTGCCAGGTTATTGGTTTACAGTGGCATTTATAGACTATCTGGGTCGCTTCTTCATCCAACTTATGGGTTTCTTCTTCATGACAGTCTTCATGTTTGCTCTTGCAATCCCATATGATCGCTGGAGTACGCAGAAACAAAGCCCAATAGGGTTTCTTGTAATGTACTCTCTCACTTTCTTCTTCGCCAATTTCGGTCCAAATACCACCACTTTCATTGTCCCCGCGGAGATTTTCCCGGCAAGGTTGAGGTCCACTTGCCACGGGATATCAGCGGCTGCCGGAAAAGCCGGAGCAACCATCGGTGCGATCGGATTTTCCTTTGCAGCACAGAGCAAGCGCCATAAAAATACGGATGAAGGGTATCCAACTGGCATGGGGGTGAAGAATTCACTTATTATGCTTGGTGTTATTAATTTTGTGGGGATGTTATTTACGTTCCTCTTGCCAGAATCCAAAGGGAAATCATTGGAGGAGTTAAGCGGAGAGAACGAAGACGAAGATGAAGGAGGCGACCAAGCTACATAGAGCTCAATAATGCCTCTTTCTAATCACTAGATATAGGATTTCGGTTCTTTCGGTGTTAAGGATCTTATCTGTACAATATGTTACATCTTTTATATTTAATCCCTTAATTAGGTTTTACGTTTACATTTAGGAGAAGTAGTATATTTTACAAAGTAGTGCACAAACGTATATGATGTAAATAGTATTGTGTCTATATATACCATATATACAATATGTCTACCAACGAAATTCTTTTCACACACACACACACAGAGAACTTAAATTAATCGCTCATGCTTCAGAATGATTTTGTTTAAACTAAAGCAATGGCTTCTTTCAGCAGAAATTACCTTTTCGAAAGACATTAATATGAAGAGTAGTGACAGTTTGATTTGATAGAGGAAGCAATCAAATGACGCATAGAATTCTAAGTGTATTTTCCCTGACGCGTAGAATAGATATATTAACGACAGGTGGATAAAAATCTCCCCAAATAATTAATTAAAAACAAATAATTGAGACAATTCAAAAAGATAACGTTGGCCAAGAGGAAAATGTAAGAGGATGATTAGAAAACTTGATACTTATAATCGGGTTGGTAATATCACCGAAGTAGCAATCTACAACGACTTTTTGGCTTGTTCGGGCAGAAATTGCTTTCAAAAGAGGGAAACAAATTTCCATGAGAGCTTTCCTGGAAATTATGTTCTTCGTCTCCATTCGTGGATTTCTAAAAGGAACGGGAAAAACAAATATGCAAGTCCTTATAATTTTACATAACTTTCATTCAGGTCCTTGCATTTTTCAATTAAGTCCTTATAGTTTTGTTAATTACGGTTATTGCTACCTTTAATTTACTCTTATATAATTTGTTAATTTGTCAGGCAAACGGTATTAGTAGCTAATGATGTAGCTTTCTTTTCGCTTAGCATACCCTTGAATTGATTTTACCACATCTAAATAAAATCAAAAGGAATCTGATTGCAAATTATATACAAATGTAAGGAGATGGTTATGAGCAATTTTTATGTCGATAATAATAAATTTTATTTTATCATTTTATTTGTAAAGAAAATCTTTTCTTATTTCATATTTTTTCATAACTTTTGTTTAATCAACCTCCATGTCAACCCTAATTAACAAGTCATGGCTATAGGTACTAATCCTTACAATTGAGGAGATTGTTAGAACCTGATCAAAAGGAAATTAAAGAAAATACACAAAGCTAATTAAAAATTAAGTAAAATTATAAAGACTGCCAAATTAATTTTTTTTTAAAAAAAATATCGCCATCATACATCACTGTAGTAGGAATTTGACTTTGGGTTGCTGAGTAGTGACCTGGCGTGTTATGTATAGAGCTCAGAACACATCAATGATAGATCTATGAGTCAAGTAACGTTTACGGTAAATGATCATAAATCAGAGTTGAAAAATCAAAATATATTCATTGTCGGTGTCCTTAGAGTCGTTACGATAAGACAATTAGCAGATAGGCAAAAACATTTAAACCTACAATTCTATTCATGTCTAAAAATAATAATTAAGTAATTAGTATATTAATTTTAAAAAGACTTGTATAATCAGTTCCAATGTTAGCAAGGTCAAAATTGGACTCATAATTATATGTTATGCATGATTCCTAATATTTTATATTTATTGTGGTATTTTTCATAGTATTATGGGAGTCATTGATACATTTTAGACATTATTTCCTTATCTGCTTAAAATAAATTTTAAATAAGATTCGCTACATCAGCGGGCATTCATTGGTATTTGTGTTTACATGATGAGCAAGATTTACCATCTAAGAAAGGAGAAAAGAAAGCTAAGTTAGATGGATGAGAATCAAGCAAATAAATATGTATCATGATGATATATTAAAAAAAAAAAAAAAAGAGGACAGATCAGCCAATTCAGCTGATTAAAATTTGGAAAAAGTGCCCAAGAGTCGGATCAAGTGAAAAAAATAAGTATCGCGGTCTTTGATTCTGTTTGGAAGAAGTATTGTTTGTATTTGATAGCTGAGTAGAGCTAAAAGTGTTTATTTAATTACTATCTCTAGTCTTAAATATAACAGCTAGTTGGAAATTCAATTTGGTCATAAATATAAGACCTCAATTCACTCTCTTTCTCATATTTATTCATTTTTTCCCCAAAGTAGTCCACATATTAGAAGGGTTTTCATTTTAATGAAATGCACATTGACAAACTCAATTATTTTTATATATTTTGATATCTTTTATATGGGTTTTTGTCAACTTAATTAGTCTTTTTGGTCTTAATTGATTGGTAATTGATTTTAATATGTTTTATTTTGAATTATTATTTTATAGGGGCAAAATTATCATATTTTGGTTTAATTGTGACTAATGGATTTTTGAGGACAATTAATGCTACCTTATCCTTGAATTTTGCTTGCAGGTTTTTGGAAGAAATAAAAATGAAAAAATGAAAAAATAAATAAAAAGAAAAAAAAAGAAAAAAAATAATAATTAAAAAGAAAGGGGCAAAACGTTGCGTTTTGCCCCACCCCACTAATAACCTAATATCATATTATTCTTCATCAGCTGGAGCGGGACGCCGAAGGAGAGAGAACGAAAACAGAGCAGAGCACGCCGAACAGAGGAGAACGGAGACGCAAGCGAGCTGGAGGCGCGGCTGGAGAAAACAAAAATAAGACGCCGAACGAAAACTCACACACACACAGACGGCGCGGGGACGAGCTGGGCGCGGTGGAAGCTGAACACCAGAACACCAGCGAGCACGAGTCGACGGCGCCTGCGTTCTTCCATGGGATCCTGTAGCAAAATACTGATTGTGGCATTTCTTATGGCAATCCATGGCTAGAGCATAATAATCCTCTAATTCAACAACAATGGCAGGAGCTTAGATCATCAAGAGGGAGTTTTAGTTAATTTAATTTACTGTCTAATAATTGTTTAACAATTCCTAGGTCTTAGGATAGTTATTCTGATTATTATAAAAATTTTGTATTGTTAAATCTGATTATCTGTGGAGATTTTTGTGGCTGGATTACTGTTTAGCATTTGACATTGGGCTATTTATAACTTTGATTTCAATTATGATGTTGTGGTTATGACATTTGTATTGATTTTGGAGTTAATATATTGTGATTCTCTAAGGTGGCTTAAAATCTTGGATCATATTGTCTCTTGCTAGTTTTAAGTCTATTGTTGTAAATTTAAGAATTTAATTGAGCATTGGTTTTTAGTATCCTTAATTTTATTTTACTATTCTGGTTGCAGTTAGTAATTTGAATTTTTGAAAAAAATATTTTGAGGCAATTGGAGGTGGCTCGGTTGTTGGATTAAAAGCTTAATTATAATTCTTAATTCATTGTTTTAACTCCCACATCTTTTAGAGTGATGATTGCCTGAGTTGTTGAATTGGAGGATTGATTTTTATCAGTGTTATTTGTGTGTCTCATTTTCATTTCTTTCATCTTCAGTTATTTCAATCATCTTTTATATAAAAAAAATAACAAAAAAAAAGTATTTTAATTTCAATTTAATTCAAGGCATTTAGTTAGCAATTTTTCAAACTCAAATCAAAAATCATTTTTATAGTTTAGGTTACTTGCATTTATTTACTAGGATTTAATTTCGTTTTCGGCTCCTCAAAATGAATACGACCCGGGTTGTGCACTATATTGCATTAATTCGGTTAATTTTTGGAGTAACCCCAAAGCGACAATTAAGGGAAGTACAACTTCAAGTGGCGCCGTTGCCGGGGAGCCAAGAAATTGGTTCCCTAGTAATTAAGTGTCAAGTAGCCTTGATTGGGGTTCATTTGTTAAGCCTTTTTAGTTTTTATTTATGTTAGTTTTTTTTTTTAGTAGTTTGCATTTGTTTTTGGTTTTTTGTTTTTCATGGCTTGGTTTAATAGCAATCATGATCTACTCTCGCATTCTCAATTTTTTGCAGGAAATAGTACGTGGAATGAAACACCTTCTAATTCAACATGTTCTCAAGAGATTGAAGAGTTGTTACAACAATTAGACTCCTTCCAAGCTTAGCTAGAGTCTCAAACGCCTAATCACCTCTCTACCCATGACTCTTCTTGGATGAACCATCCTCTACATTAATCACCTAACCCATCACTCCTACCTCGCCAACCATACTTTAATCATATATCTCCACCGTATACATACCACCAAGAACCATCTCCTTTTCCATATGAATACTACCACCAACCCTCGTCCCAATCCAACTACCATTTTCTCCCCCAATCTCATGAACCTCAATTCAATGAACCTGACCCATTTCTTACTATTCCTAAGAAGGACCAGATACGATTTTTAAGAGAAGCTTATGACCGCTTAAATTCATACTACCATGGATTACTTGAAGAAGCATGGATATCTGGAATCTCAAAGGAATTAGAAGAAGAGTTAGGAGAATGTAAGAGTGCATTGGAGAAGTTCTTGAGTGATATAGCTCAAATTGAATCTGAGAATGGGAAGGATGAGCCAAAGTGCCCAGATTTACTCATATAAGAAGCTGAAATGAAGCATGAGCATCTACAAACTCATAAGGACTTGTGTCCTATATCAGGTAATATTGATCCTCTTCTTGAGGAGATTGACTCTTGTGCTATAACTACTATTCCTATTGAAGCTTTTGATAATATGAGTGATATTGAGGTGGATGAAGAAATTGTCTGTGAATCCCCTCATGTTTTTGAACATGTTAATACTCATTTTGTTACTCTTGGTGGTAGTGATTTGGATGAAGATGCTGTTTTGTGTGATGATTTACATGCCAACTATGTTTCTCTTCCTAGTGTTGGAAGTGCTGTTATTGATAAGTATGAGAATATTAAGATTGCTAAATCTTGTTTGAGTGCAATTATTGATGACAAATGTGAGAATGATTGTTGCCTTGAGAACCAAATGCATGATAATTCCTTTGAGTTAGTAGCTTCTAGTATTGTTGAGAAAGACTCTGAAATTTTGATTGACAAAATTATGCATGTAGATGAGTCTTTCCAACAAGTTTTGTCTTGTGATTTGCCTCCTGATTTAGTTAGCTGTGTCAATAGTAGTATTCTGCATGAATCTTCTTCTGCTTTCATGTTTTTACCTCCCAACTCTTGTGAATGTGATAGTGATGTGCTGTACTCCAATAACTGTCAGTTGGATTCTTCAATTTCCACGTCACATGAACCTAAGTGTTTTGAAACTTTAAATGATTGTTTGACTCCTACTGATGGGAGTATCATTGACT